TATGCATCTTGACTTAAAACCAGATAATATTTTATTAAATTCATTATATTCAGATTCTGGTTGTGTTGCAAAAATTACTGATTTTGGTACATCTAGATTTACTAAAAGAAAAAACAATGATAAAGGTCTTGGAACACCAATATATATTGCACCTGAATGTTATCAAGATAAATATTATAATGCTAGTGATGTTTTTTCTTTTGCTATTACAGCTTGGGAATTGTTTTATGCTAAAGAACCATATAGTGAATGTAAATCAGTATTTGATATTAAGAATATTGTGATTAATGGTGGAAGATTAGAAATTGATGAACAGATGCCAGACAAGCTTCGGTCTCTTATTGTTAATTGTTGGAAACAAGAACCTAATGAACGACCTAATTTTTTGTCTATTTCTAAGTCAATGACTGAAATTTGTAAAGATGCAATTAATCATAAAGAAATTGATAAAGATGTTTCTAATAAACGAATTGAACAAATAATTGCAAAAAAGAAAGAACTTATAGAGTCAATGACAGAAGATGATGCAGAATAATTATGAATTAAAATGTTTTTTTTTTAATAGAAGAAAGGTTTTTTAATAGAAATTAATAGAACTTGAACAAGTATTTTCCATATTAAGAAAGTGACTCTTTAATGGAAATTTTAGAAGAGATTGAAATCTTATCTGATTATTGTTTTTACTTAGAAGAATTATATGGAACAGCAGATCTCAACATAGCAAAAAATATTTTAGCAGTTATTAAAAGATGTCAAAGTCGAGCAGAATTTATTCAGAAATTCCAAACAATTATGAAAATTGAAGAACCAAATAAACTTGGAAGATTTTATGAAATATATGACGAAAGAAAATTATATCAAGAATTAAATGGAAAAGAAATTGGAAAAGCAAGAAGTAAACGATTTAATGAAGAATATAAAAGAAGAAAAATTAATGATGAATATATTAACACAATAAGAAAGAAAGATAGAGGAAGGGTAAATGAAAAGAGTTGTGATAGAAAACGAATCAGTTCAGAAGAACGAAATGAAATGGAAAAATTAATTGCAGCAGGAATAATGAAACAATCGGATTTACCAATAGAAGAACTCTCTACAGATGAAATAACAATAAAAGATGTTAAATTAAATGAAGAAGAACCAAGGTTTCTTAAAGGGAAAATTAAAGAAATTATTAATTCAAAAATAAAGGAAGTAGAAAAACAACCAGAAGGACATTTACAAAGAAGTGCAATAATGGCAACTCAAATTGCAAAGAAAAGAAAAGACAAGAAAGAAAAGAAACAAGAAAAAATAGAAGAAAAGAAAATAGAAGGAATTGAAATTAAAGATAAAAAAAGAAAGAAAGAAAATGAATTAGAAGCAGACATTAAAGAAATTAAAAGTATAGAAGAGGTTATTGAAGAAATAGGAGTCATAGCACCAAAAGATAAAGAAAGAAAAGAATGGGAACAAAGAGAAGAAAAAGCAACAAAAGAATATCAAAAAAGTATTGAAGAAAAAAGGAAAGAATTACCAATATATTCAATGAGAAATAAATTAATGGAAAGTATTAAAAAGAATCAAATAATTATTCTTATTGGAGAAACAGGATGTGGGAAAACAACCCAATTAACACAATACTTATATGAAGATGGATATAGTAAAAATGGAAGAATTGGATGTACTCAACCAAGAAGAGTAGCTGCTATTAGTGTGTCTCAAAGAGTTGCAGAAGAAATGAAAGTAAAATTAGGAGAAGAAGTAGGATATAGTATTCGATTTGAAGATAAAACAACAGAAAAAACAAGAATTAAATATATGACAAATGGAATGTTATTAAGAGAATATCTTGTTGATAGAGACTTACCACAATATAAAGTTCTTATTCTTGATGAAGCACATGAAAGAACTGTTGGAATAGATATTTTATTTGGATTATTAAAAGAAACAATTAAACGTCGACCAGAATTTAAATTAATAATAACATCAGCTACATTAGATGCAGATAAATTTTCTATATATTTTAATAAAGCACCTATTATTCATATTCCAGGAAGAACATTTCCAGTAGAAAAATTATATTTAGAAGAACCAGAAATGGATTATATTCAAAGTGGAATTGAAACTATTATGAAAATTCATCTCACACAACCACCTGGAGATATTTTATTCTTTTTAACAGGACAAGAAGAAATTGATTCGACTTGTTCAATAATTAATGAAAAAGTTCAAAAATTAGATAAAAGATATCCTAAATTAATTGCTTTACCTATCTATGCTTCATTATCTACTGAACAACAAAAACGGATTTTTGAACCAGCACCAGCATTTACAAGAAAATGTATTGTTGCCACAAATATAGCTGAAACATCTATTACTATTGATGGGATTTATTTTGTTGTAGACTCAGGATTTGTTAAACAAAAAGTACATAATCCAAGACTTGGAATGGACCAATTATTAATAACTCCAATCAGTCAAGCATGTGCTGACCAAAGAGCTGGTAGAGCTGGAAGAACTGGTCCAGGAAAATGTTATAGGTTATATACAGAAAAAGCATATTTAAATGAAATGCCTATTGTAAGTATTCCAGAAATACAAAGAGCTAATCTTGCTGATACTGTTTTAATATTAAAAGCAATTGGAATTAATAATGTCATTGATTTTGATTATATGGATCCACCAATGCACAATACATTAATTAGTGCATTACATCATCTCTATGCAATTAGTGCATTAGATGATGATGGAAAATTAACACAACTTGGAAGAAAAATGGCAGAATTTCCTTTAGAACCACCATTATCAAAAATGTTAATTGTTTCAGAACAGTTTGGATGTAGTGAAGAAGTAGTAACAATTGTAGCAGCATTAAGTGTAGGTAATTTATTTATTAGACCAAAAGAAAAAGAAGAAGAAGCTGATAGAAGAAAAAGACAATTAAGTAGTTCAGCTGGAGACCATTTAACAATGTTACAAGTTTATAATAATTGGATAAAGAATGGAAAATCTCCTAGTTGGTGTAAAGAAAATTACATTAACTTTAGGTCATTATATAAATGTGAAGACATTAGAAAACAATTAATAAAAATAATGAAAAAATATCATATTCAACTTATTTCTTCTCATAATAATCCTATTCCAATTATTAAATCTATTGTTTCAGGCTTTTTTGTTCATGCAGCAAAAAGAGATCCTCAAGAAGGCTATAGGACATTAGTTGACGGTCAACAAGTATTTATTCATCCTACTAGTTCATTATTTGGAAGAAATCCTGAATGGGTTGTATATCATGAACTTGTATTGACTACTAAAGAATATATGAGAGAAATAATAGCTATTGATCCTCAATGGCTTATTGAACTAGCACCAGCCTTTTATCAGAAATCAGATGGAACACAATTGAATGAAAGAATGAGAAAAGAAAAATTAAAGCCATTATTTAATGGAGCTAAAAAAGACCAAAAGCCATGGAAAGTATCATATAGAACAACTATTGGACCATCTTATCATTAATTGTTTAAAGAAAAGAAGAAAGAATGGAAATATAATGAAGATATTATAAATATAATTTAATTATATTCTAAAAGACTTTTTAAGAAATAAAAAAAAACCCTTAAAAAGAAAAAAAGAAGATAAGAAGATGAGTAGTGAAACACAGCAACAACAAATAAATACAAATGAAAGTGAGAAACAAAAAGAAGAGATAATAAAAGAAATTATTGTAAAAGAAGAACCAGACATAAAAGAAGAAAAGAAAGAAATTAAAAAACCAATACGTGGAGCTAATGTATCTGGAAGACCATGGAAAGAGGCATATAAAAAAAGGTCAATTAAAGATAATGTAGCAACAGCTGGAATTAGTTGGGAAGAAAAAATGGAAATGAAGAAACGTAGACAAATGATGAGAGCACTTGATGAAGAGATTAGAACAAAACAAGCAGAAGAAGAAGCAAAAAGAAAAGAAGCAAGAAAGCAGGCAATTATTAGAAAGAAAGCAAACATTGCCAAAAATACTATTGTTCAACAAATTACAAATAAGAAGAAGTTGAGACATATGAGTGGGAAACAATTTAGACAATTACGTACATTCCACTTTGATGAAATTGAATAAGAAAGATAGATTGAATATGAATGATTGTTCGTTATTTTATGTTTTATAAAGCAGAAACTGGAGAGTAGTTTTGCAGAAAAAACAAAGAAAAAACGAAAAAAAACAACGATAAATTGATTTGTACGTCGATTGGTAGTAAATTCCGTTTCAGGTTTAGCAAAGTAATAGAAAAACAAAAGAGAGGAATCTTCTACAACAGAACCCTAAAACCGGGAAAAAATAGAAAAGACAGATTAATAAAGAAATGAATTAAGAAATTAAAGTAAAAAATGAGGGAAGAAGATTGTTTAAGTAAATCAAAAGTTCAAAAAACACAACAGTTAAGAGTTATAAAGGAATAATAAAGGAAACTATAGACATGTAAAAAAAGTTGATGATTTTTAAATAAAACAAAAGTTAGAAAGAAACAAAATAAGAGGTGTATAAAGAAAGTAGAAAAAGAAGAAAAAAGAAGAAATAGGATAATATAAAAATATAATAAACTGTATGATATAAAAAAAAGAAAAAGAAAGGAGTATAAGAAGGGATCGAACATTCTTTTATTAAAGCCAATCGTCTATGTTGCACGCTGAAGCTCCCCACAAGAGAATTCAGCATATCACTACAACACCACATACAAATTTAAGTAAGACGATTAATTCATTTATTGGAGTACAAAAAAATATAGGAGATAATGAATTACCACCAATAAATTTTTTAACTACAAAACCTATTAGGAAACACAATGAATATTTCAGATTTAAATTTGCAAAAGGAATTACCACATCATGTTTACTTAGTGATGAAGAGTATTATTCTAAGAATAAAAGTAAGAATACTAATATTACAGAAACAAAAATCGAAAAGAGTAATGAATCTATTGAAGATAATGGAGTAGATACAAAAAATGAAAACCCTAAAGTAGAAAGAAGTTATTCAGAAGGAGTAGTTGATAGTGATGAAGAATTACCTGTTGTTATTAAAAAACCAAAATTAAGAATTCAACCAACAGATAAAACTAAGTTTTGTAAACATTCATTAAAAATTATTCCTAAAGTTATGATTGATCCTAATATAATTAAAAGAAAAGAAATGATTAGAACATTAAAACAAATTCAACTTCAGTCTATTCGTTGTCAATATTCAACTCGTACTGAATCACAAAGATTTAAACAATTAGTAAAAGAAGTAACAGACTATTGTAATATTAATCATTTCTTTACTTGTGAACATAAAGAAACTGAATTAAAAGTATCTTCATTTGGATTTTCACAAAAAAAGTTTATTGTTGTTTTTAAAAGTGAAGCAGAAAATTATTCAAATTGGGGATTTCCTAAACCACTCTTTCTTGATGGAACAGAAGTTTGTGATACTCAACTTCTTGAACATATGAAAAAACAACCAACTGTTGAAACTATTATGAATGAACTTTTCAGAATTGCTTGTTCTATCATTTCTGAATGTGTATGTATGTAATTGTTCTCAACTCCTGCGCGTTGCTTTATGGCAGATATATTTATGTTTTTGCCTTTATTTCTTTTTATTTTTCTTCTCTTCTTTCTTTTTTTATTACTTTGAATAAAAACTTAGAATGTTTAATGACTTAATTTCTTTTTTTTTATTTCTTTTCTTGTTTTTCTCAATTTGACTTTCATTTCCTTATAAAAATATTGTTAAAAACTCTTTTGATTTTCTTTCTTTACAACCTTTGAATTTGTTAAACATCTTCAGAAACACATTGTAAATTCAATCATTGAATGATGTATTATTATGTTTGTGAAAGATCCTTTTCTTCTTTTTTACTTTGAAGAATGTTTTATTTATTTATTTTTGTGCTTTCTTCATAACAAATCTCGTCAAGAAAAGCAAATAATACAAAATCAAAGAAGAGAATGAAAGTCAATGAAATAATTTACATAATATGAATTATAAAAGAAATGTTGAAAAAGTGAATAAAAGGAGAAGATGAGTTGAAAATGAATATGAAATGATAAGTAAAGAGAATGATAATAATGAAAATACAAGTAAGAGTCAAAGAATAATAAAACATTGGAAATAAAATGAAATAAGAATAAATAGACAATGAAAATAATATAAATATGAAGTATTTCAACCTAAAATAAAAGAATATGGAGAAACTGAAAGAAATAATTCAAATAACAACAAAAGAAATAAAGAAGAAAGAA